ATTATTATTACTAGGAAAGGGGTTCTATTACCATCTACATTTTACAGAGGGAGAAACAGGCTTAAGGAGGTTCTCAAGATGAGAATTTAGAATTTAATCCTCCAACTAAGACCTGAACATCTGAGTTGACTAAGTGTGCTTGTGTACAGTCTGACTAGTTAACCATTATACTGCCTGTTTCCTTCAAAAAATATTTCTCCTTTTTCTGAATTTCTTTTTTTACCTTTCTCTTCCTGACCCTCACCATACTGGCTAGGTTTAATAACTTCCTTGAAGATCTCTAAACAGGGCTGGGGATATAGCTCGGTTGTTAGAGTGCTTGCCTAGCATGCACAAGGCCCTGGGTTCAATCCCAAGCACCAACAAACAAACAAAAAACAAACAAAAAAAACCAAACAAACAACCCCCCCCCCCAAAAAAAAAAAAAAAACAAAAAAAAAACCAAAAAACCACCCCCCCCCCCCAAAAAAAAAAAAAAAACAAAAAAAAAACCAAAAAACCACCCCCCCCCCCCAAAAAAAAAAAAAAAACAAAGATCTGTAGACATACTGTCCTCACTGGCATCATGAATTTCAAACTTAATTCATATTAGATTGAACTTGTTTATATCTAAGTGCATACAACCAAGGTCTGGAGGAGTTAGTTGGTTTCAACTCCTTTCTGTCCACTCTTTAGGAGTTTATATTCTCTATTGTACTGACTCCAGGGTGCAGGGAGCCATTGTGCCCCAGTGTCTGGCACTGCGCCTGGCACATAGTAAATGCTCTGTAACCATAGCGAATAAATGCTTAGTAAGTGATTGTGAGGCATAGTAAGCTCCTCCTATAAGACAAGGAGTATTTTGGGAAGACCACTGGGGTAGAGTTCTGTCAGAGGCTTGGCTCCTAGTCTTAGCACAAGTAGTTACTAACTATAGTTTTGGACAGACTCTTTAATTTCCAACATTTACTGAGTTCTACTATGCACCAAACTTGGTATGAGTTATTCTAAAGGTTACAGAGACAAATTAGAGAGTCTCTCCTCTCAAAGTCTAGTGAGGAAAGATTATTACACAAGTGGCCAGTCAAGTTAAAAATAACTGAATGGTTAGATCTGGGGGTACAACTTGGTCATGGAGTGCCTGCCTAGCATGCATAAGTTGTTTTTGATCACTAGAATAGTGGGGAAAAAAAGTGAATGGCTAAGTAGATATTGCATAATACAAGCAATATACATATAACTGAATAAAGAGTGATTTACTCTGATTATAGGGTTGATACATATTAACTAAGGTTTTTCATTTATTTTACATAAGATAAATATCCCTGTATATAAATAGCACCTTGAAGAATAAATAGGTTTTATTTTGGGGCAGGGGAGGGTGCAAGGGTACTGGGCATTGATTCCAGGGGTACTCTACCAGTAAGCTATATCCCCAGCATTTTCATTTTTAATTTTTTTAAAATTTTGAGACATGGTCCTATGAAGTCATGATCCTTCTCCCTCAACTTTTGGAGTCACTGGGATTATAGGCATGTGCCACCAAGACCAACTGAACAGGATTTTTACAGGTAGAAAATAAGTAAAGCCATTTTAGATAATGTAAGGAGTTAAGAACAAGACTTTGGGATAAAAATATGTTGAAGATTCTTTTTTTTGTGTGTGTGATAATGGGGGTACCCTATCATTAACCTGCATCCCCAACCCTTTTTGAAACTTTTTGAGCAGGGCATTGGCTAAATTTCCTAGGCTGGCTTTGAATTTGTGATCCTTTTGTCTCAGCCTTGAGTTGCCAGAATTTTTTTTTTCCCCTTCCCAGACAGATTCTTACAATGTTGCCAAGGCTGGCAACAAACTCCTGAGCTCAAGTGATCCTCCTGTCTCAGGTTCCTGAGCACCTGGGACTACAGGTGAACACTACCATGCCTGGTTTAAGATGTGAGTTTAATTCCATTGTCAGCTATGTAACCTTGGATTCCTTATCTATAAATGTGGAAGTAAAAATGATGATAGTAGAAAACTGGTCTAAGAATACAATTGGCCTTCCATATCCCTGGATTCTATATCCTCAGATTTAATTTACCATGGATTGGAAATATTGGGGAAATTTTTTTTTTTATTTCTTCTGGGCATGGAGGATTGCAAGTTTAAGGCCAGCCTCAGCAATTAGGTGAGGCCCTAAGCAACCGAGTGAGACCCTGTCTCAAAATTTAAAAAAATAAATAGATAAAAAGGGCTGGGGATATATGCTTCAGTGGCAAAGCACCTTTGGGTTCAATCGCAGCACCCTCCTCCCCACCACAAAATTTCATTTATATTGAACATATATAGGTCCCTCCTTTTTCATTATTCCCTAACAATATAGTATCACAACTATTTATGTTGTGTAAGGTATAATAAGTAATCTAGAGATGACTTAAAGTATATAGAAGGATGTGTGTAGGTGATATGCAAATATTAGGCTATTTTATATAAAGGACTTAACCATCCAGTGATTTTGATATACAATGGAGGGGTCCTGGAACCAATCTCCCTCAGGAACCGAGGGACAACTGTGATAAGTACCTGATCCAAGAACAATTAGCGCTACTTAAAATGAATTCAGTTAAAAGCTGTAATAGGAACTGTTGGTTGCCAACCCAACATCCTTTTGTTCCCTTTCCTTACTAACAAAGAACCAATTTTGTTCAGAGTGCCATTCCCCCTCCCCCTCATAGCTACTTCTTTGAGGTTAGTCTAAGCCAATTAAGGTAATCCCATTAGGAATGGGCATGGATACTGGCCTGATTCTAGACAAAGGAGCATGATACGGAAATCTGCAAGCAAGAAACCAAAGACTTCCTAGGCATGTGTCTTCTGCATTTGTGTCATGTGGGGAGCCATCCTGAGGGCAAGCTAAGACTTGAAGATGGTAGAACAGAAAGATGTAAGCAAGTACCCTGGGCGATGAAAGATCACTTTAAGATCTGGGCCAACTTGTATATTAATTGCAGCCCAAAACACCCCAGAAATATTTCATAGTGATTAATGGAACAAACATTTGAGGAGAACTTAACTAAAATTATGAAGTTAGTACTATATTTAATAAAAGGTTATAATGTTAGTTATATGCCAATTCTTAGAATAGCAAAGAACAATTAAATCATTAACTGTCACCCCTCCCAGTACAATTTGCCCAAACACTGATGTTTCCTGTCTCACTTTCACAACATACAAAGGTGAGTTTTATCAAGTTTCCCAATGGCTGAATCTAATTCTTTGCAATGCAAACGTGCTTTTCAAGTTCCTATCATCTTATGTCCTTGTTGATTTCCCTTTTCCATTTGTTAAATGGTATTGAGGCCGAAAATTTGCTTTCATTACTTTCAGGACTTCACCTAGTCCTGCAACTCCTGGGAGATGCACCATTCCAGTTCACATGGTTTTGTTTATGTTATTAATATCCTGATGTTTACATCTATTCATCAGCTAGATATTAAAAACACTGATTGAGCTGGGGCTATAGCTCAGCGGCAGAGTACTTGCCTCACGATGTGTGAGGCACTGGGTTCGATCCTCAGCACCACATAAAAATAAACAAACAAAGACAGTGTGTCCATCTACAACTAAAAACACAAAAACAGGCTGGGGAACTAAAAAAAAAAATAAATATTAAAAATTCTCTTTCTCTCTCTCTCTCTCTCTCTCTCTCTCTCTCTCTCTCTCTCTCTCTCTCTCTCCTCTCTCTCTTTCTCTTTAAAAAAAGAAAAAAGAAAAAATAGGCCAGGGATATATAGTTCAGTGGTGCAGAGCTTACCTGGCGTGTGCAAGGCCCTGGTTCAATCCCTAGTACTGAAAGAGAGAGAGACCCTTCATTCCCTCACCGGACCAGATATTCAGTTTAATAACCATTCTCCTTTGAATCATCACTTTCAGCCTAAAATGCCAAAGCTAGAAGAGATCCTAAAGAGCTGGGCACAGTGGCACAAGCCTGTGATTCCAGAGATTTGGGAGCTAAAGAGGGCTGTGGATGTAGCTCAGTGACAAGGCGCCCCTGGGTTAAATCCCCAGAATCAAAAGGGGAGGGGTCCCTAAAGCTCATCTAACTCAGTGGTTATCAAACTTTCTTAGAGGGCTGGGGTGTAGCTCAGCAGTGGAGTGCATGCTTACGTGGGTGAGGCCCTGGATTCAGTTCCTGTCTCACACTCCCACACACACAGGCAAATTAGGGTGTGGATATTTTTCTTGAAATGAAAGATGAGCAGGGATGTTCCTTGTTTGAGGGGACCCAGATATACCCTATCCCCTGAGGGCTCTGAAGAGCTCAGTTGATAACCCTGATCTAGTCTAGTTTCTTTTGAACCTTACTTTTATCCTTACTTTCTAGAGAAGAAGGCAGTAGCTTACCTACCCACCCACCCACCAAAAAAAAAAAAAAAAAAGACAACAACAACAGGAACAAGGGGGACACTCTAAACAGAGAGCAATCAGCCAGGCATCCTGCTGCTGCTTGTCTTCTTTCCCTTGTATCCTGCCTCAGATTGAACTGTTGACGTCATCACAAATGGCAACAGAAAGAGAATTAAAGGAGCTGGGGCTTAGAACTGCTATGGAGGAAATTGAGAGGAATTATAGTTGAGGAGGGTCTTAGAGAGCTAAATACTTTGGGACTAAAAAGAGTTCATGTAAATCTTTTTTTTTTTTTTTTTTCTTGGTACCAGGGATTGAACCCAGGGGCATTTAACTACTGAGCCACATCCCCAGCCCTTTTTTATATTTTATTAAGAGGGAGGGTCTCACTAAGTTGCTTAGGTCCTTGCTCAGTTGCTGAGGCTGGCTTTGAACTTGCGAACCTCCTGCCTCAGCCTCCAAAGCCACTGGGATTATAGGCTTGCACCTCTGCACCCAGATGATTCTTTCCATTCCACACTACGTTGTAGTCTCCAGGATGCATTAGCCTATATAAATCCCTACTGGGCCTTAATCATATAAGAGAGAGGGGGTGGTAGCACCTTTCTCATTGTCACCTCTACCTTCCCTAGATATGTGCAGGTGAAATTTGTCTGTATTCGGACCCAGTCAAACAGGAAGAGAACACGGGAGGCGAACATGTGCCCAGCATATTTGCTCCTGAGGTACAACGAGAGACTAGATAGACTATTTATCAGTGAACTTAACACCCACCACGTACACGTTGATTCCAAAACCGCTATTCCTGGAGGAGATGCCGTTTACAAATCTCAAAGGACACTGTGTCTGCAGAAACTCCAGCCTGTGCTGCCCACATTCAAAAAGGACCTTGATAAAGCTGAGAAGTCCCCAGTAGAACCATCGTTTTATCTAAATGATGTACAAGTGCCCTCAAAACCAGAGCAGGAAGGCATCACTCCTTCTGATCTGGCTAAGATAGCAAAAGTGATGAAAAACTTTCTTAAGGTAGATAAGGGTTCCATGGCTTCCTTCAGTGTGGGCACCAGCCGAGACTTGGACCGGCTGAGCTTCCAGAGCAGCAAGATGAGTGACCTGTTCATCCGATTCCCAGAGAATCTCTTGCTGCACCGGGTGGAGAATACCCAGGGCCACATCCTCTACGCTTTCTTGGTGGAGAACAAGGAACGAGAAGGTCGAGTGGTCCACTTTGCTGTGCTCAAGACTGAGACAGCCACCTCTGTCGCCAAGATGCTGAGCATCTTCACAGAGTTTAACTCTGATTGGCCCAAGGTCAAGGTGGTCTTTGTGGACCCTTCATTCCCTCACCGGCCCATTCTGCAGGAGATCTTCCCTGCTGCCCGCATCCTTCTTTCCATCTACCACACAACCCGGCTCTTGGAGAAGAAGTTACATCGTAGTTCAGCAAATCCATCCTTTAAAAGACTCATGAAGGAAGCCCTGCGGGAGGCTGTGTTTGTCACTTCTGAAGCCAGCCTTAAAAATCTCTGTCAGATGTCCCAAGCTCTGCTAGACGAGGATCTCTTCAGCTTCCTACAGGCCCACTGGTTCTCCTGTGAACTGCTGTGGTACATGCACGTAAGGAAGGGCCTGCATGCGTGTAATACCTACATGGACAGCCTAGACATAGTCACCAGCAAGGTGTCAAGCCTCTTTCGGGAACAGCAGTCCCTGCTAGACTGCATCCTCCGTTTCGTGGATTACATAGACTTCTTCAATACTAAGGGCTTGAAGAATTTACCCACAGCTCCTCCCAAGTTAAAGAGAACTCGGCCTCCAAGCATGCCACCAAAGGCCAAGAAGCCTTTTGGAATCTGTGGAAGGAGCCTTAATGGGCTCCCTGTGGAAGAGACGAAGCCAGACTCGAAGCAAGTTCAGTTGCAGCAGCAGCCCTCCCTGGGTGACATGCTAGACACCTTAAACCAAAGTGGCTCTGAACTGGCCTATAAGCTGTGCAACAAAGAGTGGGAGGTGGTGCAGAATTCCACCCATCTGGTGGGCATGGCCGGACCCTCGGTGGATGTTCAGCTGCTAGAGGACTCTCACCAAGTTAGCAAAGATGGTTGTAGCTGCAGCTGTTCCTTTCAGCAATGGTACCACCTGCCTTGCCGGCACATTTTGGCGCTGCTACATACCAGCCAGCAACCTGTGGGTGAAGCCATGGTGTGCAGACGGTGGCAGAAGAAGTATCAGCACCTCCTGGGGCCCAATGGGGAGCTCCAGGACCGTGGTGTGATCCCACACACAGACCAGCCTGAAAAGCAAGGTCGGAACGATATGATTCAGGACCTAAGCAGAGAGCTGGCAAACTTGCTAATGCAGACCGAGGGCCCAGAGCTGGAGGAGCGCTGTTCTACCCTGCGCAAGATTGTGGACATCTGGGCTGTCCCCTGTCAGCCTCCTGAGTCCATTCAGCAGCCAGGAGACTTCAGGGACGTAGGCTGGCTCCCTTTCCTCTGGGGAAAACATGAAGAAGGAGAGGGACTCCCTCCTGCTGAAGCCACAATTCAGGATTGAATCACTTGCACTGGCACAATTGGACCAAACCCCTCTCCTAGGAAGTTTGCGAGTTCGGAGTGGGCATGTCATGATAGGGGTCAGTGTTTTGACCAATGTCTTCCTTGGTAGGGATTGAAAGATTATTTAAAAAAAAAAAAAAAATATATATATATATATATATATAGGAGAGGGACCCCACTGTGAATCTGCCCCTTTTCAGCCCTCCCCTTTGGCATTCCATGGGCACTGCATTCATTGTTCAAAGCCAAAGTTATCTCCATACTGAAAGGTCACCTCTCTTTTTTCCCCAACCCCTGAGAGAAGTCTTCTCCCTTCAAAGATGAACCCCTACCCTAAGACAGGATGAGACAAAATGGACCTGGTAAAAAGGGCCTGTTTTCAGGAACAAAGAGAAGGAGGGTGACTCTTGATTGTTGCTGCTCTTTATGAAGAATCTGTTATTTGTACCTATTTTTATTCATATTAAATAAAGTTGTTTTTTAAAAAAAAAATAAAAAATTACCAGGGGAAATGTGTTCTGCTTGATTAGGCAAAGAAAGACCAATTGCTCAGCAGGACTCCTGACCCTACTGTTGGGAATTGGGCACTCCGGGGTGGGTTTATTTTTTAGTTCTTATTGCTGGGATTGAATGCAAGCCTCTCTGCTACTGAGCTACATTCCAGCTCCAGATGGATTTGTTAATTATAAAGGAAATTGAGTATTGTCTAATGGGGTTGTGGAGCCAAATAGAACCTACTACTATTATAAATTCACAGTTAGCAAGCCACCATTTACTTTGCCCTTTTCCTACCAATTTCAGCATTGATTTCAGGTTGCCTTATATTCTTGTAGGAGGAAGCCAAATAGACTGAAAGAAATCTGAATCCTAGACTTGATTGCCAGCAACTTGCTGGGGGACATGAGCAAGTCCCTAATTTCATTGACCCGCTTAACTCGTCTGTAAAAATTAGTCTGTTGGCCTGTTCTGGTCCAGGATTTCCTCTCTAGGTCTCTATAAACATTTTTGATACGGTGATAAGAATCAACACTGACTTGGTGTTGCTAGTTGGTGGACTTCATTGTCTAAAGCCTGGTAGTCATTCATCTTTCCAAGATTGTCTTCAGGGGAACTGCAGATAAAGATGGAAGTCTATCAGCGCTTGCATTAGTTCTCTGGGACCTTAAGTCACAGGGCCATTCTGTATCTGTTGTGGAAATTCTGGAAGGAATTGGGCTGGACAATGCCAGTGGGGAAGTTCCTGACCCCTAAGGAAGAGGCAGAATTGGAGAACAGGGCTTCAGTTTCTCTGTAAGGGAGGGTGTACACACACACACACACACACACACACACACACACACACGATTTCTGTAAAGCACAGCTCTTTATTTTCATTTTCAGTTTTGGCCTTTGAGGGAAGTTCCCCTAATAAGGTGCCCTGCCTGGCGTCTAGCCTGAAGGGAGGCTCAGGAGTTCAGTCCCGGGGCTCGGAGGTGAGCACACTCCCTTAGACTCTCATTGGTTACTGCCAGTCGAGCCCCTCGTAACCCTGGTAACAGGGCCCGCCCTCAAAATTTCGGGTCTGCGATTGGTCCGTGGTATCAAAGACCGAAAGCCAAGTTCCTCAGGTCATTGGCCTGAGTCATTGCGAGGCTGGCGCTGTGGTTGGCGCGCCTAGAGGTCAATCACGCAGGTCAACTGGGGGAAATGGCGACGGAGCCAGGTGGTAGGAGAGTGCTCTCTGGGGGAGTGGAGGTGTGAAGCACTTGGTCGCCACGGCGGCCGTCGCACAGCTCCCGAAGAGTGGGAGGCTGACTTCAGCTCTGCTGGATTCTGAAAGCCAACGTCAGACATCCCCATCTCCCACCTGGGTCAGAGGTGAGAGGTCAAGGCCCGCATTCCTTCTCAGTTCCGGGTTTTTGGACCTTGTGGGAAATCGTCAGAATCTTGGGCCAAAGACTTGGCTTCCATCTACTGACAGTAATGGAGGGCAGATCACTTAAAAACTTTGAACCTCGGTTTCTCATCTGTAAAATGGGGGTGAAAACCCATTTGGGGACCAACCAGAGGTTACTTTTCTTGTTGCAGTACTGGGGATTGAGCCTAGGGTCTCGCCCATGCCAGGCAAGTGTTCTACCACTGATTACACCCCCATCCCTTTTGGGGTTTTGAGACAGGGTCTCACTGAATTGCCCAGGCTGGCCTTGAACTTGTGATACTCCTGCTTCAACTTTCCAGGTAGCTGGAGTTACAGGTGTTTCCATCGTGCCCAGTTTAGAAGTGTTTGAATAACAAGCCTTGCCTGTGTAGAAGCAGGAGAAACTAAGCACCATTGTTAATCCCATTTGATGGTGGAAGGGATTGAGTCTCAAAGGTGATCACTGACTTGCCCCAGCAAGTCTGAGCCACTTACTTTTATATGTACCAGGACCAAAAGAAAGAATGGATGCCAAGTAGTACTTTGCAAATATAAAGGCTATACAAGTATTTAGAATGCTATTAAAATAAATTAAAAAAAAAAAACCCAAAGACTATAGGCAGCTTTGGCTTTCACACCTATTTATATCCCCTGGAACCATGTGTCTTTCTGTGACTAGCTTCTTGTTGAGGTCTCATCTCCAGTGTCATCTTCCTTACCCCCAAAGAAACCTTTCCCAACCACCTTAAAGTGTCCACCTTCCCGGACTCATTCTCCAACCTGTTACTTAGTTTTATGGTGTTTGTAACCCTCATTATCTGATATATCCCTACTTGTTTACTTATAGTGATGACACATAGTACGTTTTCAGTCAATATAACCTAGATGAATAATTGAAGAGCCAAGACCCTACTGTCTCCTTATACCTCTGCTCCTTTCCATAGGCACATCTTTGGAACAAGATCTGGAAACTACAGTTAAGCCTCAAGCCTTGAGTTACCGGAAGCTTGAACCTGCAGAGAAAGTATTTTGACCTGGGCATTTAGACATTTCCCATCTTTCCCATGGCCCTAACGATGCTGAATGGGCTTCTGATTAAGGACTCAAGCCCACCTGTGCTGCTGCACCAGGTTAGCAGGGCTCCCCAGCTAGATAGCTTCAACTACCAGAGCTGTTTCATGCAAGATGTTTTTTCCCATTTCCCTGAGATCTTATTTATCCATCGGACCTATAACCCAAGAGGCAAGGTGTTGTATACCTTCCTGGTGGATGGACCTCGAGTGCAGCTGGAGGGTCCTCTAGCTCGGGCAGTCTACTTTGCCATCCCTGCCAAGGAGGATGCTGAAGGCCTCGCCCAGATTTTGCAGGTGTTCAAGAAGTTTAACCCAGCATGGGAGAGAGTCTGTACCATCCTGGTAGATCCCCACTTCCTCCCCCTGCCCACCCTAGCCATGGAGTTCCCCACAGCTGAGGTCTTGTTCTCAGCCTTTCATATTTGCAAATTCCTCCAGGGCAAGTTCTATCAGCTGTCCCTTGAACAGCCTATGGAGAGGGTGCTCTTGACCTCCCTGCAGAACACCATGTGCTCAGCCACAGCAGGCAACCTGAGGAGGCTGTATACGCTCCTGAGCAACTGTGTCCCCCCAGCCCGGCTGCCTGAGCTCCACTCACACTGGCTGCTCAACGACCGCATCTGGCTGGCACACCGCTGGAGGAGCCGAGCTGAGAGCAGGCGCTATTTCCAGAGCCTGGAGGTCACCACCCGCATCCTCAGTCAGTTCTTTGGCACCACCCCATCTGAGAAACAAGGCATGGCCTCTCTGTTCCGGTATATGCAGCAAAACCCAGGAGACAAGGCAAGCTTCAACCTGGGCCTGAGTCCCCAGAACAATCATAGCCCCTCAGATGCCAGCCCCGACAGCCCCAAAACAGAGCAGTTGGTAGAAGCTCGCATTCAGCACTCCCTCAATGCCATCTGCACAGGGCCAGCAGCCCAGCTCTGCCTGGGTGAACTTGCTGTGGTCCAGAAATCCATGCACCTCATTGGCTGTGGCTCAGAAAAGATGAACATACAGATCCTGGAGGATACCCACAAGGTGCAGCCTCAGCCCCCTGCCAGCTGCAGCTGCTACTTCAACCAGGCCTTCCACCTGCCCTGCCGCCACATCCTGGCTATGCTCAGTGCCCGCCGCCAGGTGCTCCAGCCAGACATGCTGCCAGCTCAGTGGACAGCAAGCTGTGCCACCAGTCTAGACAGCATCCTGAGCAGCACGTGGAGTGAGACCCTGGATAAACACCTGGCAGTGACTCTTCTAACCGAGGAGGTGGGTCAGCTCTTGCAGCACTGCAGCAAGGAGGAGTTTGAGCGGCGGTATAGCACCCTGCGGGAGCTAGCTGACAGCTGGATCGGCCCCTACGAGCAGGTGCAGCTTTGATCACTGCTGATACCCCATGTGTACACTCACATACTTCCCCTACGTACACTCATGCTGTCGTCCGTCCACGGTCACTCCTTCCACAATAAGGACAAGAGTCTTCTACTCTGCCATAGTCTGCTACCTAGAAGGTGTCTTTAAGAATGGCTCCTTAAGACAGGAGTCAGCATCTTTTCTGTAAAGGGCCCAAGAGTAAATATTTTAGACTTAGATGCTCATGTACAGTGGCTGTTGTATATTCTTGGTTTTGTTTTGACAGCCTTTTCATAAAGTGGAAACAATTCTTAGCTCAAAGATCTTACAAAAACAGGCGACCCCTGGTCCAAGACAAGACATGGGTGCTGAGTTTGAGGACCAGGGCTTGGTAACAGCTGCCCCAGTCATGAGATCACTCACCTGACCCACACCCTATGATTGAGCTGGCCCAGGAGCTTCCCACAGAGGAAGCTGCTCAGGGAAGTGACTGAGCCAGGTTCCCAATATTTTTTCTCCTGGCTCCATCTTGGGATCAATAAATAAAGTTAAATGTTGCAAATTCCAATATTTTTCTAGTTTTTTTGTTTTATACCTGGCAGTTTGGGATATGTTGTGGAAGAAATAGAATTTAGAGTTGGAAGATGATAGATACTACACGTGAATCCAGATGTTTTTTTCTTGGCAATACTGTGGATTGAATCCAAGGTTGCTCTACCACTAAGCTACATTCTCAGCCCTTTTAAATTTGTTTTTGTGTTTGTTTTTTTGAGACAGGGTCTCACTAAGTTGCCTTAGCCTCCGAGTAGCTGGGATTACAGGCATATACCACAGCTTTGGCTCATCCCTGACTTATTTTTAAGACATAGTTCATCTTTTACTAGCTGTGAGACTCAGGATAGGTCAACTCTTTAAACTCAATTTGTAAAAATGGGCATCTTCACAGGGTTGGTCAGATTAAAAAAGAGTGAACTTCTACTCATTCAGATGCTTCATGGTGCTCAACCAGGTGTTCAGTTTCCTTCCTTTCTGCCTTCAGGAGGCTGGAAAATTTAAGGCAGGAGGAAATTTCACCTTGCTAGGACTTCACAAGAAACTTTGATCAAGCTGGGTGTGGTGTTACACCCCTGTAATCCCAGCTACTCAGGAAGCTGAGACAGGAGGATAGCAAGTTCAGTGCCAGCCTGGGCAATATAGGGAGAGATTCCCTACTACTGAGAAGAAAAAAAAAAAAAGAAATTTTGATCAAGTATTCAATACAGGAGCCTCCACTGTCAAAACAGGATCACCTATGTAGGTAATTTCAGTTTTATCTATCCGGATAAGACCTACCTCTTGTTAGTGGCAGCAAGAGAAACTTCTTGGGGTCTGGACCCTAATGAAGAACTAGAATTCGTCAGTGGCCCAGCCTACCTCTGCCATACACCCCCCCGCCAACCCTGTCTACCCAAAAACCATACAGAGAAGCCACCCTATGTGTCTGGTGCTATTTCATCCAGCTACAAGCAGGAGCCAGGAGGCTGGCCCCTCCTGGATCTCATTAGGGACATCTGCCCAGAAGCTGAGTGGGCATGTACTTGCTCCCACCGCGTTCCCTCCACAGCTCCCTCAGGCTCTGGGTGGGCCATCATGAAAGCTTGAGCTGCCCGGATCAGGTCTTCTTCCCGCAGGCCTGGGACAGGCACGGTGGGGATGCCGGCGATCATCATGGCCAGGGTGAGGATGCAGATGTCAGGCTGGGAGCCGGCCTCCTTCCCCACTGCCTCAGAGGGCACTGGCAGAACCCCTGGTGACAGCCCACACAGCAGCAGGGGCCCAGGCCTGCTGGGGCCACTCAGGTGGGGAGCTCTGCCTCTGGAGCAGCCATTCTCCCAGCCCAAGCTCTCTGGTTGCCTCACGTTGGGGAATTTGTGGCAGTATCGGCTGTACTCCTTCCTCCGTGGTATCTCCCAGCTAGCACCCCCAGAGCAGACCCTGGCTTCAGGCACTGCCAGGGTGGGGCCCCAGGTCTGGGCAGCAGGTACCACCTGCTCGGCTTTCTGGTTCAGTGGGCCTAATCCACCAGAGGCCACCACCACTGGCTCTGTAGGACTATAGAGGCCAAGGGACGAACCCGGAGAAGCAGCCCCACCTGCAGAGACAGGAATGAGATGGAATGTTATTCTTGGTCTCTGAAGAAGAGGCCCTGAGGGGCAGGGCTTAGGAGCAGGAGCAATTAAAACCAGCTCAAGAGGACTGTTTAGAGGTTAGGCCTTAAGTGTTACTCACATCCATATCCCCACTTCCCAACACTGAGCAAATGATGGAGCAGTGTTTGCTGAATGACTAAGTGAGCAAGTGGTAGTTAGTAATTGGCAAGGACTTTTGGAATGGCTTTTCTTCCAAGAGTTGACTCCAAGGTCAGCCCCCAAATGCCCGGCAGAACCTCCCCCTCCCTGGAACCAGGAGGCAACTCCCATGTGAAGCTGCTTTGCCTCCATTAGACCCCCTCTCACCTTGGTTAGAAGGTAGAAGACCTGGATGAGTCTGGGGAGACATGAAGTAGGACATGGCTGCCCCAAAGGCCCTGTTTGTGAGGGAATAGTCATATGCCTCCTGTCCTACCCTATCCTTCTAGAATGTCACCTCATAGTCCCTCCCCTTTACACCTGGAACCCATCTCACAGCATTGACCTGTTCATTCTAGAACCCATGTATAACAATGGGATGGGATTAAAAGAGCCCTGTACCAATTCCAGGGTGTTCTAGGTTCTTGCCTTCACCTTGGGCAAGTCACCTGGACAGTTTTGTTCCTTAATGTCCTCATCTGTAAAATGGGAGTAATGACTACCCCCACCAGATGTTATGAGGATGAGGTGGGACTATCTATCTGTATGGAGCCAAAAAATCAGAGACACAAGTAGAGTCCAGGGTTTTGTGTCCTGTAGTGTCAGACAAGGATGCTCTTCAATCATTTTCTATTTGACCTTGAACAAATGCATTCTCATCTCAGGGTCTCAGTTATCCTTCTGCAAAATGAAATAGTTGGTGTAGGGCACTGGATCTCAGGCCAGGCTGCACATTAGAATCTCTTGGGACACTTTGAGAAACTGTGATGCCCAACTCATCCCAAACCAATTAAGTCATAATCCCAGAGCCAGACCAATATTGGTATCTTTAAGTTCCTCAAGCAATTATAATATGCACCAAACCTGAAACTCCTGTTCTAAGGAAGTGTTTCTCCACCTGGCTGTCCCTTCTATCTCCTGGAGGGCTTTTTCAATATACAGTGGCCAGGCCTGCACACATCAAAGGAAAGTTTCCAGGGAGTATGGGGCATCAGTACTCCCTAAGTATCCCAATTAAACAAGCCCTTGTCTAGATGGCATCGAAAATGTTCTCTCTTGCTCTGACCTGCTGATTTGTAGTGATTCTAGAAGTGCCTCTACACACTGCAGGGCAAGGAGACCCTCCAATGATCAGAATGTCAGCATCAGCTGTTTATTTCTAGTCCTGGTTGGCAGCAGTGTTACCAGCTTCAGACAGGGTCTGAAGGCCAGGAGTGCTCCTGTGGGCCCTCTGGGTGGCTGCAGACCTTCACTCATACTTGCAGAAATCCTTAAGCCCTTTGGGCAGATGGAGTCCATCAATGGCCAGCCGGTGCACCACGCTCCTCTGGATCACTAGGCGGCACAGAGTCTGCAGCGATGGCACTGTGGAAAGAAGGCGGTCAAAGGCACAGGAAACTGAAGGGTGGGTCTGAGGCCAGGCCCCAAAAAACCTAGGTTTTCGTTGGTTCTCATTCTGCCATCAGCTTGGGTAACTCCCTTCTGCTGTCAGGCTCAGCTTGCTTCACAGAGCTGATCATATAGCTGAAATAAACACTACTTCCTGCCTGGCATGGTGGCCAACGCCTATAATCCCAGTGATTTGGGAGGCTGAGACAGGAGGATTGCAAGTTTGAAGCCAGCCTCAGCAATTTAGCAAGCCTTAAGCAATTTAGCAAGGTCCTGTCTCAAAATGAAAAATAAAATGGTCTGGGGATATGTCTCAGTGCTTAAGCACCCCTGGGTTCAATCCCCAGTATCAAAAAATTATAATAAAAAAACCACTTCCTGAAGACCTTCAATGATGTAACCCTGCTTTTATAACAACACAGCACAAAGCTCTTCCCCCTTCAGTTAGCAGCTTCTGTGGGCAGGGTAGTGTCTGATTTGCTCATACAACCACAGTTCCCAGTGCAGGTTCTAGTTCCCTGAATCCATGAGATGGGATCCGAGGTATAAATAAAATGTTTGATAGGGTTGTAAGGAAGTGGAACTGGATCTCAGAATTCAAAAGCTCTCGATTTGAGGTCTATGATGCCTCTATGCTTCTAAACGGATAGACCTAAATTTATCAGCATTTTTTCTAGGTTAATACCAAAAACACTGGGGCTGGGGTTGTGGCTCAGCAGTAGAGCACTTGCCTAGCATTTGCAAAGCCCTGGGTTGGATCCTCAGCACCACATATAAATAGAAAATGAGGGTATTGCGTCCAACTACAACTAAAAAATAAATATTAAAAAAAATATTGAAAACATTGTAAGAACTAAAAGGGACCTGCAAGGCACCTTAATCAATCACCTGGGATAGGCAAGGGCAAGGAGACCCTCCAGTGATCGGGAGTGACTGGTGCAAAACTACAAACAGAGGTGCAATTCCAAGCTGGATTCTTCCTGTTTTTGATGCTCTTGCTGCTGTTTCGTCTTTCTGGGAATTAAAGGGACTCTTCCCCACTGAACTACATCTCCAGCCCTTTTTTTAAAAAATATTTATTTAGAGATAGTCTGGACTTGAACTTGTGGTACTAGTGCCTCAGCCTCCAGAAGCGAGATTACAGATTTCAGCCCTCCAGGTTTCCCTCTTCTAAACTAACGCTGGAGAGACCAAGGTCTAGGAAACTGTGGCCCACGGGTTCTAGCAGGTGTCTGTGTCCACACTGGGCCAGGAGGGGTCGCTGCCCAGGAGTGGGATACCTACAGCCATACTCGAGTTGAACCAGACGCACGCTCTTGGTGGAGGCAAACACGTCCACCACCGCATAGAGGGGCTGGGCAGCGGGCAGCCCCCGGGCGCTGGGGCCCATGTCCTCCCCGTTGATGACGATGTGCATGTCTGCGGTGCCATCCGGGTGCGGGCAGAAGAGAACGCCCAGGCGGCTGCGGCGCGCGGTCGGAGGCAACACGTTCAGCTCGTAGAGCTGGTCCAAGAGGTGGCTGTAGAGCCCCGGCCGGCTGCGGCCCACGAGGCGGTCCCGGGGGATTCGGAACTGCTCAATGCACAGATACGGTTCCACCAGCAGGGCCGGGGGGCGGCGCGGGGCCGCGGCCTCTGCCTCTGCCTGCGGTTGGCCGTTCCGGGGCACGCGGTTGTGGTGGCGCGTGATGGCGAAGACCCAGGTGTGGCCAAGGTTGACCAGGTCCGGCAGCGAAAATTCGGGCACGGCGGCCAGACTGGCGGGGTCCAGCGCGGTCAGGCCGAGGCGCAGATGGCCGCACCAGCCCAGCTCTTTCTCCTCGATCTCGACCAGGAATACCTGGCCGGGGACCAGCGGCTCGCGACTGAAGCACACACCATGGGCGAAGCTCTCCACGCGCGTGGCCCGCGTCCCCGAGGGGTCCACGCGGATGTTGGCTCCGTGCACCCGGTGGAAGCGGGTGGGAGGGGGCTCCGGGCGCGCGGGTCCCCAGGAGGCACCCAGCTCCACAGGGTTGGAGGCAGCAGCCATCTGGGGCCATGTGGCAAGACAGACGGCGCCCGGAGCTATTTTGGGCCACCGACTTAGATGGTGACAGTCGGGGAACCATGTAAGGCATTCCCCCCGACTCCCTTCCCGAGGCTCTACTCGGGGGTCCTAGCGCCGCTGGCTCAGGCATCCCCCTAGAGCCCGGGTCCCCAGGGGCGGGGAAACCTGCCGTCCACACCCGGATCATCTGGTCGCTGGCTCCGGACTACGACCTTCGAGGCCCGCGGACTTTGACCCGAAAATTGACCGCTCCCTCCCCTGAGGCCTTCGGAGAGCCAAAAGGGGGCCTGGGGAGGGCTGACACGTGACGCCAGCCTTCACGTGACTCAGGGTACACATGACTTCCAGTCCCCGGCGCCTCCCGGAGAGCAAGGACGCGAGGAAGCAGAGGTGAGGGGACCTCGGCCGGAGCGGATGCCCCCGCCCAGGGTCGGTGGCGGCGGCGGGGCCTCGGCGGGCGGGATCCGGGCCGGGGCCCCCTCGCGGCGCGCCCAGCTCCTCCCGGGGGACTGCGGCTCCCGGGCGCCTGGCCGCGAGCGAGCGGGTAAACTGCAGGCGCCGCCACTTCCTCCCGCAGATGGGCCGAGCCGCGCTGCCGCCGCTGCTCCTGCTGTGGCTCCTGTGCTGGGCGTCCCGGGTCCAGGCGGCCCCCGACCAGGACCAGATTCAGTGCCTGCCCGGACTGGCCAAGCAGCCGTCGTTCCGCCAGTTCTCGGGCTACCTCAGAGCCGCCGGCTCCAAGCACTTGCACTACTGGTCGGCGGCCCTGCCTCCCAGGGCGGGCGGGAGGCGGCTGGCAGAGCCCACCCGGCGGGATGGGGGCTGCAGGCAGTTCCCGAGACGACGGAGGGCTCCCGGGAGCGAGCGGGGAGGGCAGGAGGGGCCCTCCGCCCGCACCAACTCCCTCTGACCCCTCCCAGGTTTGTGGAGTCCCAGAAAGATCCAGAGAGCAGCCCGGTGGTGCTTTGGCTCAACGGGGGTCCGGGCTGCAGCTCCCTAGATGGGTTCCTGACAGAGCACGGCCCTTTCCTGGTGAGTGGACGCTGCCGTCTCCTCCTGTGACCCAGGAAAGAGGGGAAAGGGACAGTTACCCAAGGGAAAAGGGTGGGGAGAAAAGGGCTTCCTGGTCTTCCAAGTGTCTCCTTCTTCCTGAACCTTGCTGTTTTCCCCACTGTGCTGGGGCTTACTTAACCGTCCTTAGGTGCTGGGGGTTGTCCCTGTGTGAAGGACCTCTGGCACTGGGGCCCTTCCCCTCCACCCAGTTGGTCCTTGGTGCTCATTCCCTCTCTTTCCTCCGCAGATCCAGCCAGATGGTGTCACTCTGGAGTACAACCCCTATTCATGGAACCTGGTATAGCTGAGCTGTGCGTCCTGGGCGGGTGTCTGGGCAGTCCAATGTGGTGGGGCCCCCTCTTCACTTCATTTCCTCCTCCCCTCTAGATTGCCAATGTGTTGTACATTGAGTCCCCAGCTGGGGTGGGCTTCTCCTACTCTGATGACAAGGTTTATGCCACCAATGACACCGAGGTGAGTCTGGTGCCTGCCCACCCACTCCAGCTTCCCTGGCCTTCCACTGGGGCGCGAAGAGGGGAGCAGGAACATGGCCTCTGGATCCGTTTCTGGCTGTCATGTGCTACGGATGTGATCGTAACCAAGTCACTTCCTCTCACACCCAGGGTTGGTTTCATTACCTCTTGAGGATTTTTCTAGCTCAGATGTCAGTGCATCCTGATTCTCTCCATCCTGCCACCCCCAGGTTGCCCAGGGCAATTATGAAGCCCTTAAAGATTTCTTCCGCCTCTTTCCGGAGTATAAGAACAACAAACTTTTCCTGACGGGCGAGAGCTATGCCGGCATCTACATCCCCACCTTGGCTGTGCTGGTCATGCAGGACCCCAGCATGAACCTTCAGGTGCAAGGCAGCTGCAGGAGGGCAGGGAGGCCCCTGGGGACCATACCCTTGTAGTTCCAGGTCAGACTGCCCAGCACCCTGCCCAGCCTGGTCTCCCTCCCAGCCACCAGCGACCCTATCTCTGCCTGCCTGCCTCCCGTGACTAGAAGCCACCTGTCAGGCTGCCAGCTCTGTTCTGTACCTTGAGTGACCCCCCCAAACCCACCCCACAGACCACCCAGGGATTCTAGGTTGCAGAAGGTCTAGGTGTGGGTCAGGGAGCTCCTCCTCCTCCCCACCCTCCAGATGAGCGAGCCCTGGGTGTTTTCACAGGGGCTGGCTGTGGGCAACGGACTCTCCTCCTATGAGCAGAACGACAACTCGCTCGTCTATTTTGCCTACTACCATGGCCTTCTGGGGAACAGGTATGGGAGACAGAGTTGGGCAATCTAGGGTGGGGCCAGTCATGGGATCTCAGGTCATCCTCCAGGCACGATATCCTGGCCCTGCCCTGGCCTATGAGCTAGTGGGGTTGCCAGAAGAATTTGGTGCTAGAAGGTCAAAAGTAGACATATGAATGTAAAGGAACTAAGGAGGGCCATCTGTGTGGCATGGACCCATATCCACACCCTGTGATCTCTTTCCTAATCTCTGCTGACAGATCCCTGGGTCAGGTCCTGGTGGAGGCTAGAGGAAGGAGGGCGCCCACCTCTGCCCACAGCTGAGCGCTTCCCCCATTTCCTGCAGGCTCTGGTCCTTGCTCCAGACCCACTGCTGCTCTCAGAACAAGTGTAACTTCTATGACAACAAAGACCCGGAATGTGTGACCAATGTGAGGTTCTGCCTCTACTTCACCTCAGCCCTGCCCCCCACAATCCTGAAAACGGAACCGCCCCCCCCCCCCCTTAGTGACTCCCTGTCCCCTCGGCCCCGTTGCTTTTCTGTCCTGTACTTTTGAGCGATGTGTTCTCTGGAACCCCAGTGAGGAAACCGAGGCCAAGAATGTTTGTCACTTGCCTGAGGTCACAAGGCTAGGGAGTAGTGCTAGGATGTGGACCCAGGTCTGGAAGATTCCTTCCACTGAGCCTCAATTTCCCTGTGAAAAAAAGATGGGTGAAGGGAGGTGATGGGGATGTAAGCGGGAAGAATCTTGGTGAGGGGCCAGGTCACGGAGGACCAGGGGTCTGTAACACGTGGTGTTGTGTTGTCCCAGCTTCAGGAAGTGTCTCGAATCGTGGGCAACTCTGGCCTCAACATCTACAACCTCTATGCCCCATGTGCTGGGGGGGTACCTGGCCGAGTGAGGTAGGTGCCGCTCTGCACCCCGAGGCCAGCCAGCCCCACCTGGAGCCCAGCGCCCACCCCTCCACTTCACTTGCAGGTACGAGAAGGACAGTGCTGTGGTCCAGGATTTTGGCAATATCTTCACTCGTCTGCCATTCAAGCGGACGTGGCACCAGGTGTGCGAGAGCTTGGGGCCCCTTCCCCATGGGGTGTGGGGTATGGCAGGGCAGGCACATGAAGATCTGACCCTGTGTCTGTGCCCCACCAGGCACTGCTGCGTTCCGGGGACAAGGTGCGCATGGACCCCCCCTGCACCAACACCACGGCCGCCTCCACCTACCTCAACAACCCGTATGTGCGCAAGGCCCTCCACATCCCCGAGCAGCTGCCCCGCTGGGACATGTGCAAGTAAGGCTCTGCGCCACAGGTGGCTCTGGGGGGCGAGCTGGGGGGCTCGTAGGCCATCAGCAGGTTTTCCAGGGGTCCTCTGGTTGAGACTTCTCAAAGGCCCATGCAGCAAGGCCACCCAGGGCATGAGAATCACCTGTTATCCCAGATGTTTTGTAAATGGCCACACTGGCTCAATAATAGGCACTGCCTGACCTCCTCCAGTGCCACCTCCAGCTGGCACAGCAGGGGCCATCCAGAGATGTCCTATGTGGTGACTTTCAAGCCTGTTGGTCCCTAGATTCCAGATGCCAGTTGCATCCCAGTCACTGTAACAACCAAAAGTATCCCTAGACCTTTCTAAATGGGGGTGGGTCGAGGATCTTTGAATCCCAGCCCCTGTCCCCAGGTTAGTGCTGTCTGCCTCCCAGGCAGGAACTCGGGGATGGGAGAGAGGTCTGATCTGTTGACGGTTTCTCCCCCTGTGGCCTGTGCACATGCTCCTGGCAGCTTCCTGGTGAACATACAGTACCGCCGGCTCTACCAAAGCATGAACTCTCAGTACCTGAAGCTGCTCAATTCACAGGTGTGTAGGGGCAGCACAGCTGGATCTAATAGCAGCTGTAGGGCCCTGGAGTAGTTCAGCAAGCTGGGGGCCCCTTCAGAGCGCTTTCAGGACTGGGGAAGCTAAAACTCCAAGAGGTAAAGTCCTGTGCCAAGTTCCTATGGGTAGCAGGGAAAAGATTTGAGCCCAGGTTTGTCTCCACCCCAGGCTGCTCTGCTTAGGAGGCTAAGGGGTCTGCAGCCACCAAAGAGCCTTTAGAATGGGAAGAGCTGGTTAGATCACATCACAATGCAAATGGAGGTCCAGGGCCAGAGAGGGCTTGCCCACAGTCCTGCCAGACCAGTGGCAAGTCCTTTTAGGAGTCACATAGCCCTGGGGGAATTTCTTAAATACCTTTAACTTGATGTCCCAAAATGAGGATAATTATGGTTTAATTAGTGCACTAAGTTGACAGAAAACAAGAATTTCCTGGTCTGTGCTATTTAGCTGGGCCCCCTTAAATTCCCTGGAGGCCTAGAGCTTAAGCCAGGGAAGAGGTGGGGCCCAGCTGAGTGGGGTGGCCTGTCATCTCAGGGGCTTGGGAGGCTGAGGCAGGAGGACTACGAGTTTAAATCCAGCCTAAGGAATTTAGCAAGACCCTGACTCTAAATAACATATAAAACAAGAGCTAGGGATATGGTTAAGCACCCCTGGGTTCAAGCTCTAGTACCAACAACTGGGCTAGGCCTGAGCTCATTCCCCATTGGCCCTGCTCCAGAGATACCAGATCCTGTTATACAACGGAGACGTGGACATGGCCTGCAACTTCTTGGGGGATGAGTGGTTTGTGGACTCCCTCAACCAGAAGGTAAGGCAGGGCTCCTGTCCGGAGGCAAGTGCTTGGGGTGGCTCTGGTCCACGCTGGGCAAACCTGGAGGGTAGTTCCTGGACTCCAGGTCTCGCTGCAGCTGTGGGCAGGGACGGTGGGGCTACGGGCTGATGTCTCTCCTGGTGGCAGATGGAGGTGCAGCGCCGGCCCTGGCTGGTGGACTACGGCGAGAGCGGGGAGCAGATCGCTGGCTTCGTGAAGGAGTTCTCCCACATTGCCTTTCTCACCATCAAGGTGGGCTTGGGACCAGCAGGGGACAACTGGGGCCCGAGGGAAGGGCAGAGCCCACCCATCCTTACCCCTGACCTCCTTTTATTCAGGGTCACTTCTGGCCCTGTAAGGGCAAGTTTTGGGGGCTCGGGGGAGGCTGAGCATGAAGGAGGAGGGAGGGAGCCAAGGGGGTCAGAATCTCACAGAGCTTTGTTCCCCAGGGCGCTGGACACATGGTCCCCACTGACAAGCCCCAAGCTGCCTTCACCATGTTCTCCCGCTTCCTGAACAAAGAGCCATACTGAGGACCGGGGGACACGTGGAAGCCCTCGCTGTCTGATGCAAACCCTCCCACCAGGAGGGAGCTCCTCCTCTATGCAGGTCCCCGACTCAGGACTGCCCCACTGCCCACAGCCCCAGCCCTGTGCAGGGCAGCCTGGGCCCAGCCTCTCCGTAGACAGCCTGGGGACAAGTGAGCACTTTATTCCTATAGCAGTACCTGGAGGGCATGGCCGGCCCTCCCTGCTTAAATGCCCTTCTGGATGTGTGGGTCCTATCCCGGGACCCCAGCTGAGCTCTCAGGGCAGCCCTTGGGAAGGCAGAGGGGGGAGGGAGGGGACGGGCTACAGCAGACGGATCGATTATGAAATTAAATTGCCACGGCTTCAACCCATCTTCTCTGGCACTGGGGACTAAAGGGGAAGAGGGGAGGGCTGAGGGGGTGGGGTCCCCAGCGGAAGCTACTAGGGTGGGGGTGGGGCTGCAACAGCTGCTGTGGAGGATGGAGGGGCACTGGACGCCTGGGGGTCCCTGGCCTTGGACGGAGGAGCACTGGACGCCTGGGGGTCCCTGGCGTTGGCAGGCCGGTTCTTGTTGATCACCTCTCGCAGCCCTTTAGCGAAGTGGAGGTCAGCGCCAATGGTGAGGAAGCCCTGTGCAGGGGGCAGAGAGGGTCCCAGTCACTCATCCCGTCACTGAGGCCAGAGCTTGAGAGAGAGAGCCCGTGACTTTGAGGGGTCTCACTAGTGGGACAGATGGGCAGAGCAGTTCCTTCCTGTGACTCAAGGGGGCTAAGAGGCTTCTGGGCATCATGGAGGGCTGGCATGAAAGAGGAGTAGGTGTGGAGGCTGGGCTGGAGGAGAGCTGCACACCTACTCATCTCTCAGCCTGGCCTGGGAAAGGGCCGGGGGGACAGGGGAGGGCTGGGGGGACAGGGGAGGGCTGGGACAAGCTTCCGGGGCACTGGGACTCCTCCTGCCCACCTCCTGCCCCCACGCACCGCATGGTTCTTCACCACCTCACGAACAAAGTTGATGCCCTCGGGTAGGGGGATCTGGACCCCACGCCAGGTCCGTTCTGTGGGTGGGAGCAGCAGGCTCGGTCCTGGCCCACCCAGCTCTCCCCTCCCTCCCCCTCCCCCCCTCAGTACCCAGCCTTACGGTTGAGCATGGGCATCACCCCGACCTGCAGCATGGCCTTCAGAGGGGTCTGGAGCGGGATCAGCTGGCAGGCAAGAGGGGTAGAGAGGGCAGTGCGTGGGTGGTGGCCTCGCCTGACTGCCCACCCCCGGCCTGGCCCACCTCCATTCTCAACTCACTGCCAGGGACTCCAGTGCAGACTGGTTCGAGTAGATTCGGAACCTGTGGAGAAGCAGTGCCCATAAGGCTGGGAGCGCCCCCTTCCGCGGGCCACCCTGCGGGAGGTGCCCACCTGTCTACAAGCCTTTCCAGGTGGCACTACCATGCCCCAGGTGTGCATCCAGAGCCAGCTGTCTCCTCTGTGGGTCTCCTCCAGGTCTGCTAGTTTTTATTTGCCAAGCACCTATATATGTCGCTGCTGCTGACAGCTCTGCGGGGGTTACTTACTCGGTCAGACACTAAACATGTTAGAGAAGTAAATATTATCTGAACTACTTTAAAATACCAGTTGATTTGGTCCTGACAACAACCCCAAGAAGCAGGCACTATCAGGAATTGCACTTCATAGATGAGTAATTGAGGGACAGAGGGGTTAGGTAATTTGCCCAAGATCATACAGCAATAAGTATCAGAACCTGCCTCTGGAATTTAAGTCCCTAACCATGACCCTGCATTAACTCATTTAGCTCCTAAAACAGCACTGTCCACTGTGGAAGCTACTAGCCTTATGTGGCTAATGAAGTATGGCTTTCTGCACTTGAGTAAATGGTTAATTTAAAGATGAATAGTCACACAAGGTCAATGGATACCACACTGGACAGCACAGCATGAGGGGTAGGTGCTAGCTGGGAGGAGTGGCACGTGCCTATAAAGTGGCACTTTACCACCAAGCTACATCCCCAGCTCTTTTTATTTTGAGTCAGGCTCTCTCTAAGTTGCTTTGGGACTCACTAAGTTGCTGAGGCTGGCCTCCAACTTGGGATCCTTCTGCCTCAGCCTCTGAGTTGGTGGGATTAGAGGTGCGGCTCAGTGTTAGCCCGGGTTCTGTCTCTGTTGGGCAGGTGTGGTCACCCTGAAGACCAGGGCAAGGAGGTTGGGGCCTGCCCAGGACCTCCCTGTCTACGTACTTGCGCAGGTCCAGGTGTGTGCGCAGAGCCTTGCCCCGGAGTGTCATCTTGGCATTAAATCGGGCGTCCTGAGGGGAAGTGCAGGGTGGGGGCACATCACAGAACTGGAAGATTCACGACCCACTTCTCCCAGACCTCCTGCTGCCCCTGCTTTGGGGCCGCACCATGATCATGCTGGAGAGCTGGACCTCGGGCTGGTTGGGTGGGACCAGGGCGATGGTGACACTGGCTGTGACGGAGATGGTAGTGCCCGAGGGCTTGATGGTGCAGCGTGGGGGGGCCATGGCCTGCAGCTCCAGCTTCAGCGGGGAGTCAATCACTGCAGGGCTCTGGGGACAGAGCAAGGAGGGCAGGTCACACCAGATCTGTTCCCTGGTAAGCCTCCCCACAGAGGACCGCACGCAGCCCTGGCCCTCAGGTAGCCCAGGAGTGACCAGCACCAAGACTGCTGGGGCTTCGCAAACCCCTCCTGTGTGCACCTAGCCTTTGCCCCGGGCTGCAGCCTTACACAAAGGGATGCTCCTTCCTTTTCTTCCTAGTATTTTCTCCCCAATATCCAGGGGCATGAATGTTCCAGCTTCCTGCTCCCTCTCCCAGGAGGTTCTGCAAGGTTTCTCCCAGGGGCCTCGGAGGAAGCTGTCCAAGTGCTGACTCACCCCTGAACTTGACCCTGCACACTGCACACCGTGAGCTCCTTTCAACCTCACTGTGACAGCATGTGCCAGGTTTTGTTATTGTCGTTTTTGAGACGACAAGCCAAGGCCTAAAGAGGTTGCGTGGCTTGTCCAAGGCCATGTAGGCATTCGGTTGGGGGACAGGGAGGGGACTCGGGCAGTCTGCAGGAGTCCCTGCTCTTCACTGCTTGGACGCACGTGTGAAGAGGAGGAAGAGGATCGTCATAACAGCAGCTGGTGTTTATTAAGCACTTGCTGTGTACCAGGTGCTGTCAATTGCTTTACGTGAAAATTCATTTTAGTTTTCATGACCACCTTGTGAAGTTGTGTAATGCAGAGGAGGCCAGGTTCAAATCCAAGTTCAAATTCCAGCGCTTGATTCACAAAATTGAAAATGATAACTGAAAACTTTCAAAGTTTTGAACGCCTTCCCCTCTCCCCATTAAACAAGGGGAATTTTTTTTTATTTTTTAGTTGTGGGTGGAAACAATATTTTTATTTTTAAATCTTTTCTTTTTGGTTATAGATGGACACAATACCTTTATTTTATTTGTTTATTTTTTTAATGTGGTGCCAGGGATCCAACCCAGTGCCTCACACATGCTAGGCAAGTGCTCTACCACTGAGCCACAATCCCAACCACAATATTTTTATTTCGTTTACTTATTTTTATGTGGTGCTGAGGCTCGAACTCAGGGCCTCACATGTATGAAGCAAGCTCTCTGCCACTGAGCCACAACCCCGGCCCTAACCAAGGGGAATTAAAGAATACATTCATCCTCATTCCTTGCCCATCCTGCCCTGTACTTGCAGGGCTTGGGCTCTCTCCCAGCCTCACATGAGCCGCGTGGAGACAGACAGGGCAGGAAGTAGCGACCCCACTTCACAGACTTGGAATGGGCTTGGCAAGATGGGGACTTGGCCACAGGCAAGAGGCCAGGCCTGTCTCCTCCAGGGCTGCCCTGGGGGTCCCCCCTCCACAAGCTGCCTCAAAGGTGTGTAGGTGGCATGCCCCCCAAGCTTGGCTACACCCCCAGCCCTAGTCGATGCTCACCAGAAGGACGATGCTCCCAAAGTAGGTGGCCCTGAGCAGCATGTCCAGATCGTGGGGCACCTGAACAGGGAATCGGGGATGAGGCAGGGCCCTGGGGAGCTCCACCTCGCCCCCTGCCCACCCTGCCAACAGCTCCTCCGGCACACCTTATCTCCCACCAGGGACAGCTGCAAGGCCCCCGCCCGGAAGTAGCTCTCCATGGCAGAGTCAAAGAAGAACTCGGAGAAGGCCACGTACACCATCCGCTCCTCCTCCTGCAGCTGGGGCTCCACCGCCTGGTTCAGGAGGCTCCAGTTCCCCTCGGCCAAGGGGAAGAATGCTCCCTGGGTGAGGGGTCAGGGTAGAGTCAAGGCGGACGGGCCCCCACCTGTGTCTCCCAGCCCTGGGCTGGCCCTGTGGGGGACGGTGGGGTTGCACCGGCTCTGTTCTGGGGGGACCCACAGGCATGGCTAGGAGAGCAGCTGCAGGCAGCAACCCCATCCGACTGGAAAAGGGAAGATCAAGAAAGGTTTCATGAGATGGGTGGCATTTGAGTGGGCCCTGAAAGCTGACGGCAGTAATAAGCCACTGTTTGTGGCTCGGGAGGCTGAGGCAGGAGGATTACAAATTCAAAGCCAGCCTCAGCAACTCAGTGAGGCCCTGTCTCCAAATAAAATATGAAAAAGGGTTAGAGATGTGGCTCAGGGGTTGAGCGCCCCTGGGTTCACTCCCCAGTACAAAAAAGAAAAAAAAAAAAGCCACTGTTTGCACAAGCAGAGTGGTTCCCCCGTGCCAGGTCCTATGCCAGCCTCTTGGTCTAGTAGGACCCCTTTAATCCACAGGACAGCCCTTATGAGGGGCTTTACAGGCTGTCACTGGCCTTTACAAATGAGGAAGCAGGCACAGGAAGTTAAGCCACTTGCATAAGGTCACACAGCTCTTCAGTGGCGGAGCCAGGATTTGAACTTCAGCCATTCTAGCTCTGGAGATTGTGCTCTGAAGTTCTCCGAGAGGAGCGAAGGTAGTAGCCACCTACTCCCGATGTGGCCTTGGGCAAGGGTCATCACCTCCCTCAGCAAGTCTTGACATCCTAAAGTGAGAATAGTCAGCCCTCTGAGCCCAACGAGTCAACCAACTGATAAGTGAGAAAAACTGTGCCGGGCAGTGGCGCACACCTGCGATCCTATTGGCTTGGGAGGCTGAGGAAGGAGGATCATGAGTTCAAAGCCAGCCTCAGCAATTAAGCAAGACCCTCGTCTCAGAATAATAATATTTAAAAAAAAAGGGTGGGAAGGCTGGGGGTGTGGCTCAGTGCATAAGTGCCCCTGGATTCAAGCCCCAGAATCAAAAAGAAAGAAAATACATTGCATCTGTACCAAGCCCAGGCAGACATTTTTGGTCTTTATTCTCTACACAATGCAGTAAGTATTGTGTAGCTCTTTATACAGCATTGACATTGTGTTAAGGGTTATAAATAAACTTTATTTAGGTACTGAGGATTGAACCCATGAACACTGAGCTACATTCCCGGCCCCTTTATTCTTTATTTTGAGAGAAGGTTTGCTAAGTTCCTGAGGCTGGCCTTGAAATTGGGATCTTCCTGCCTCAGCCTCTTGAGTCATGGGGATTACAGGCATGAGATGGCTTAAAGAATGCATAGAGCCTGTGCACATGCTATACCATTTTATATAAAGGACTTGAGCATGCTTGGATCCTGGGGACAACTGTGTAAGTGTTAGCACCTCACTCTCAAGGTTGTGAGAAAATGAGATGAGATTATGTACGTAGAACTTTATGTCCATCTCCTTCAGGGAGGTGGGGGTAGGCTGTGCATGAGCAAAGGCCCTGGGGTGGGAAGTGAGAGGCAAGAGTAGCTGTGGAGAAATGGGATGAAGTTGGAAAGGCAGGGCCAGATGTAACTAACAAAGCTCAAACGCCAGAGGCAGGAGGTTGAACCTACTTCTGCAGCAACAGGGAGCCATGGCATTGTCAGTAATGAGAGTGGCCTCATCAGAGCTCTACTTTAGGAAGCTAAAATCAGCCATGGGGGTGGGGGGGAGGGAGGTCAGAGGTCACACACACCCCAACTTGGGTGGCTCACCCGGAATTCCATGTCYAGATTGCTGGTTGAGACCACAGGATCCTTCAGCAGGGAATAGTCGATGCCCACAAGCTCATCCACAGAACTGCGCACTGCAAGGAGGAGCGCAAGTCGTTCAAAGCTGTGTGAGGTCTGTGCTCAACCTCTCTGAGCTTCTCATCAATAAACTGGCGATAACTCCGCTTATAGGTTGTTAGGAGGATCCGATTAGTTCTATGTGGAAAGCACTCAGGGCCTGGTGTGTAGTAAGTGCTTTTATGACTACTACAAGGGCTTCAGCAAATTGCTAAAGAAAATGGCCAAGGGCTGGGGATGTGGCTCAAGCGGTAGCACGCTCGCCTGGCATGCGTGCGGCCCGGGTTCGATCCTCAGCACCACATACCAACAAAGATGTTATGTCGCTGAAAACTAAAAAATAAATATTAAAAAAAAAAGAAAAGAAAATGGCCAAGGAATCCTCTCCTTGGTTCTTCCTCCTTTCCTCCAGGCCCTGGGTGTCGGGCACGATGGGGTAAGATCTCTCTCACAGCAGCCAGGGGTCATCGCTGGGGAAAAGGAATCTGTTCTTGAACACCTGTTACGTGCCAGATGATGAAGCCGAGTGGGGTCCAGTGCGCATCCAAGGGGAAGCGCTGGCCACCAGGTGGAGAATACAAGGCCCAGAGGGAAGTGAGTCCTTACCTAAGGTCACCCGGCAAGTCGGCAGCACACTGACCCCAGGACTTCCCACGGCTGGGCCTCCTGGGGTACTGGTGGCAGCCACCCTCCTCCCCACCCACCTTCCCCAGGCCTCCCCCGGGCCCCGGGCCCCACAAGCACTGACTCACCAGGCACAGTGTCCAGGAGGGAGTTGAGCAAGACCATTCCCGCATGGTAGAGCACAGGGCAGATCTGGAAGGCGGGGGCCAGAGTCAGGGCCTTCTCAAAGGAGGGCAGGCCCACCCTGCTGCCCCCGACCTGCCCCTGCCCATACCTGCTGGTTGAGGAGGAAGCGCATCCCGGAGGTGATGAACGTAGACAGAAATTCATACACCTTCCTGCGGGAGGGGAGAGGCCGGTGAGCCCAGCCCTGCCYTACCCCATCCAGATCCAGGACAAAGGACAGCAGCCAGAGAAACGGTGGTGACAGGGACTCCTCAGCAGATGTTTCCAAGATCCGGCCCCAACCCACCCCCTGCCTGGTTCTCAAGGCCCCTGGCCTGCTCCAGGCCCTGCAGGCCCAGTGGCTCCCAGCTGCTCGGAGCATCCTGCTCCTGCGGCTTCGGCCTCCCTCCACCCTCGGTGCTCTGCCCTGTGTCCTCCACTCAGTCAGTCCACCCAGATCACCCTCTTGGCATCCCAGAGTGCTTTCTCGGTGCCCCTCTCAGGACCCTGAGGACGAACGCCTCATGGCTCCAGCTAGGCCCTGAGCTGCTCTCCAGATCCTCAGGCTCTGGCACACACTCRGCAAAACACTGACAGTACACCAACCCAGATGAGGAATCCACCCCCCAGGAGCAGCACAAAGTCCCCTTCTCAGATCAGATCCGGAATTGGGCTGGGCCTGGGGCTCATTGGTAGAGTGCTGGCCTGGCATGCGTGAAGCACTGGGTTCCATCCTCAGCCCCACATAAAAACAAAGATACTGTCCCCCTACAACTAAAAAATACATATAAAATTTTTTTAAGAGCTACTAATTGGGGGCTGGGGTTGTGGCTCAGTGGTAGAGCACATGCTTAGAACGTGTGAGGCCCTGGGTTCGATCCTCAGCACCACATAAAAATAAATGAAATAAAGGTATTGTTTCCATCTACATCTAAATTTTTTTTTAAAAAAAAAGAGCTACTAATTATTGAGAACTTAGTCATGCCCAACTATCCATACTAATCTTCACAATTACTCCTATCTAAGTGACTAGCACTTATATGGTCATTTATCATATGCAAGGTACTATTCTAAGTGTTTTTATAAATATTTTATAAATTTTGTGATATTTAATTTAATAATATTGTAAATAATGTAAATACTGTAATATCTGTAATATTATAAATACTGCATTATTATTGTAAATATCGTAATGTTTACAACAATATTATAATAATATTGTAAATATTAACAAAATAACCCTTACAATGATCTTATAGAATAAGTYGTATTATCATCTCTAATTTACCAGTGAGGAAACTGAGGCACTGAACTTCGATGACTTGCCCAAGTTCACACAGCCAGTTGGAGGAGCTAAGATCTGGAGGCTGTGGGTCTGACTTCTGAGTCCTGCATGATGCAAATGGGCTGGGGGGCTCAAAGGGGATGCAGGGGGGGGGGCTCACTTGAAGGTTCCGCTGAAGACCATATGCATTCTGGAGACAGAAGCCTGGCAGGAGACATTGGACACTTTCATCCGACCAGAGGAATCCTGGGAGAGCTGCAGACCCGTGTGGATGGACACACCCTCCGCAGAGGCATTGATGTAGCCTCCATCATAGCTGCCATAAGGAAGTGGCTGTGAGCCTGACCGAGTCTGCACGGCCCTCCAACCCCCCATACCTCCATCGTGATAACCACATCAACTTTTTTTGTATTGTTTTTAATTTTGAGACAGGGTCTCACTAAGTTAATGGGGAGGCCTAGAAATCTCAATCCTCCTGCCTTAGCCTCCCAAGTTGCTAGAATTACAGGTGTGCACCACTGTGCCCTGCTTGAACCTCTTAATAAGGCCTCATTTCTTCATACTTTACCAGACATCCTAGTCAACCCTCCTATCGATAGTTATAAAGTAGACACAATTGTTCCTCGTGTATGGATGCAGAAACTTAGAAAATGTAAGGGGTTGCCCCAGGCCCACAGTACCCCGGTGCAGCTGGCACTCCCTCCACCCCGCCCAGGGTCAGTGTCCTCACAAGAACCAGTAGAGAAGCTGTCTCCGAAAGCGCAGCCCCAAGGAGGCGTTGGTGATTTGTAGCATAAGCTCCTGCTCGGGCTGGAAGTGGAGCTCAGAGGACGTCAGCTGCAGTTCCGTGACCCTCACCCTGTAGGAAGCCCCAGGGTCAGATCCAGATCCAGGGCCAGGAGAAGATTCCACCCAACCACAGGAAAGCCATTCTCTCCTCTTCCAGTGCAGCGGGGAAGCTGGTGGGTGGCTTGGACTTGGGTGGCTCAGAGATTAGCTCCTGCTAACCTAAGTGTTAAAAGTAAACTTCACCCATCTTTCTCCCTCTCTGTGGCCCAGGCTGGTGTGTAACTCTTGAGCTAAAAACGATCCTCCTGCCTCAACCTTCCTAGCTCCTGAGTAGCTGGACCACCATGCCCACTAACCCCATCTCTTAGAAGTCTTGTTGCTTGCACCCCCTCCCCTGCTACACCCTCCCAAGCTAAGCTCTGCCCGTACACCAATTCTCCTATCCCTCCTCTCCTAAGTCACCTTCCCATTAGCGCCAACCCATGCCCTGGAGTTCACTCTCCTCCACTGCTAAATGCCTCCTCTCCTAAGTCACCTTCCCATTAGCTCCAACCATGCCCTGGAGTTCACTCTCCTCCACTGCTAAATGCCTCCTCTCGGCCTTTCCAGGGCACTGGGGCTAGGCTTCAAAACCACCGCCTGGGTTCGTCTTGGTCCCGCCCACATCCTCCAGACCACGCCCACCTCCTGGTCCCGCCGACGGTAGCAGTCTTGGCCGTTACCTTGAGGGCCATCCTGTTTAAGTCCCGCCCTTTCAATTTGGCCGCGCCCCCAGTCGGCTCGGCCTCGATCCGTCAGCGCCCCCTCCGGAGGCCAGGGCACCCGCACCGTCGAGGCCCCGCCCCGGCCCCGAGGCCCCGCCCCGGGCCGACTTACTCGGAGATGTTGTARTAGAAGTGTCCCTCTTGGCCCCGCAGGTCGGGAATAGTGATGGTCTCCAGCTCTTGCTCCAGAAAGCGCAGCCCTTCCTGCTTCACTGAGGCAGCAGTGAGACCCTTAGCTGCGCGCCCCCCACGGCGACCGCTGCCGCCCCCGMGCCTGCACCCACGCCTTACCCAGTTCCAGCGCCTTGGAGGTGACGCGGATCTTGCAGCCCGGGAGCTCCGCGCGGGCGCCTGCCAGCAGCGCTAGGAAGAGGGCCCCCAACAGGGCCATGGCCAGCGGGCCTGAGGGTGGGAGGGGTCGCAGGGATCGTCTGGGCGCTAAGACCCGCTCCTTGGATGTCCAATAAGGGGGAACTGGGCCGGACCGTTACCCGCTTATAACTCGCCAGGGAGCTGGGAACCAATAATCTTGCCTCCATTTGGCAGATGCAGAAACTGAGGCTCAGAGAGGCCAGGAGACTAGCGCTTTGTCTACCGAAGGATTTGGGCACCCGGAAAGGGGCATTCTCAGTTCCCTCGTGCAACCGCCGCGTGACGAGTTTGGACCTCCGGGGAACCAGCCCCCATCCCCCCAACAACCTCCCCTTTCCCCTGGAGACCGGCGGGCTCTGGCTGGTCCGTTGCCGTGGCAACAACCGCACGCGCATTCCTGGAGCGAGGTTTGGGTCTCCTAGGTCCCATGCCGCAATGGCCAGCCGGGCCGCGGGCTCCGAGGTCTCCCGGTTCCCTCTGGCCCTAAATCTCTCCCATTGGAGATTCTGCCTGGTGCCCCCATCTCAGCGCCCTCCTTCGTCGGCTTTCCTCCCCAACCCGGGTTCAAAGGACCTCGCGGCCAGGGCCGGGGTGGGATGGGGACCTGCCCCAACTCACTAAGCGGTGGAGCTGGGGCACGGCGCGGTCGCGTGGGGCGGCGGGCAGCGCTCGGATCCGTGCGGCAGGGTCTGGCGGGCAGCGCTCTTCCAGCGCCTTTATAAAGCCTGGCCTCCGCGACCCCCCTCCTCGCTGCAGCACTCCCCTCCTCCCTGGGGGCTGGGAGGGGACGGGGCGGGACGCTGGCAGCCGGGAGGGTGGAGAGGGTTGAACCGAGCCCCGTGACAAGTTCGGTTGCTGTCGAGACAAGTGGGGGACTGAAGCCCCGCAAGAGGGAGGGAAGTACAGGAGCAGGCCTGCTCAAGCACAGCCATCGAATTCCAATTACTCATCTCTTCCTGCACCATCTTCCTGCATGATCTTGGCCAAATCGCTTCACTTGGGTCRCTGAGCCTCAGTTTCTTCATCCAGCAAAATATGAGTGACAATAAGAACTAGGTCTTGGGCCTTGCCATCCTGGCCTAGCTTTGCTGTGGAGTCCCCCAATCGACCTGGGGACCTTAGGACCCAGAGACCCTTCCCATTTGGGAAAGCAAGTCCAAACAAGTGTATCAGCCCAGGAAGGCAACACCCAGGGGACCGGAATCACCCTAGAGGGGGGTCTGCTGTTTCCTTGGGCCCTAGTTTGGTGACTCCTTGGCGCTAGGTGCTCCGGACAGTACCCTGTTTCCCATCTACTGCCTACAAGGTTCCAAGCACCTAGGACAGGAGTAGGGGCTGCTACCTTTTTGTTGTCAAATAATGAAACAGAAAAGGGGAAGGAGTCTTAGCACCAAGCACTCACCTAGCTAGGACGACCAGCTGGCTTCAAAACTGACTTGGGAACCCACTCTGTGCCAGGTAAACCAGGAGAGCTGGTCACCCTATATCTCGGCCAACTTATATAACTTTCCTAACAACCTGTGATGTCACTCTTATGAGCTCTCTTTGGTGGGAAAGATTGAAACAACTTTGTGATTGTGTTTATGGGGGAGTGGGAGGTGGGTTTTATAGCCCATTAAAGTCAGGCTCAGTGGTACTCGCCTGTAATCCCAGCAACTTGGGAGCCTGAGGAAGGAAAATAACAATTTCAAGGCCAAAGTCAGCAATTTAGTGATACATAGTGGGCATTAGCTTTTCCTCCCAAGGAGCTGGGACTATAGACTTCAGCCACTGCACCCAACTTACCTGTTATTTTCTTTGCTGAAATGCAAGCTCCATCTTTGTATCATTTTTTATCTCTTACAGGGTCTTGTTCCCTGTAACCCATTGTCCCTACAACAGCTCCTGTGAGCACTCAATAGAGCTTTGTGTCCCTGGACCAGTGTTTCCACAGCCCTGGGCCTCAGTATCCTCATCTACAAAATGAGGATAATCAGGGCACCTCCCTTTTTGGATTGCTTGTGGGCATTAAATGGGTCATTGTGTTGGAAGGATTAATAAGCAGTTGGCACTTAGTGCTCAAAAAACTCGAGGTACAGTCTGTAGCATTAATGGGCATGGCTTTTTAGCAAACTGAAGATGAGATTCCTGCCTCTGTGCTCTGGCTTCCAGGCATGTGATTGGGCCTCTCGTGGTTCATCTCTCTCCTCTCAGCCTTATTCCTTCTGCTTCAGCCACACTGGCCTTTCTGTTTCTTGCTCAGGGCCTTTGCATGTGTAGATTCCTCTACCTGGGACACTTTCCTGCTTGAACTTCCCAAGGCTGGTTCCTGGTCATTCTGGTCTCAGCTTCATCGTGTTACTTCAGAGATGTGTCCCTCCCTGCCTCTCTAGCAGTTCCTCTCAATCAGTCAGCCTGGTTTATTTTCCTTATAGATCTTACTACTTTGGGGAGTGGGCGGGGATACATCTCAAGCACTTTTAAATTTTAAATCTGAGACAGGATCTTGCTAAGTTGCTAAGGCTTTGCTAAATTGCTGAGGCYGACCTTGAACTTGCAATTCTCTTACCTCAGCCTCCYAAGTCGCTAGGATGACAGATATGTTTTGAAATATTTTCTTGTGTATTTGTCTGTCTCTGTAAGAGCTGGGATTTGTTCAACACTTTATCCCTAGTGCTTAGAACAGTGCATGGCACACAGAAGGTGCTGAATACATATTTGCTCAGTGATGGAATTGGTTTGGAGCCCTGGAATACCCTGGGGAGAAGGCAGGACCTAGAGCACCCTGGGGTTCTTTTCCTCTGCTGCTCCTTSTCGGCCTCAGCTCCGTGGACTCCGTCCGTCCGCACAGCCTGGAGCTGGGCAGGTGGGGGAGGAGGTGTTACGCAGCGAGCAGAATGACAGACCACCACACTTATGAAGCCAAATTGAAAGGGGAAAAGCCCTTTAATGAGTGTGCCAGGCAAGCCGTTGGGAGCGGGCTAGCGCCTCCCAGAACTCCCAGCTCCTGGATTTTGAAATATAGAGTTTATAAAGGCAAAACCCACAAAAACCACAAAGACAGTTGAGCCAGATGTAGGTCAGAAAAGACCTTGTTGAGACATATTTTGGTAACATGAGAGAATTGTTTGGATTATCCATTTCAGAGTCATTTCTGTTGTACATCAGGGCCTTAGCCAGGGGCGGGAAGGTCCTACTGGACTGTCAGGACATCACAGCGTCAGGAGGCTGGAAAGAAGACATTTTAAGCAAGCATAAAATGGAGGCAGGTCAAAGCAAAATGGCATTCCTTTGGTTCTTTTCCATTTCAGAGGTGCCCTGATTCCAGGGACCTGCCCACTCAGCCTGCCTCTCTCCATTACCTGGGTTTCCCTTTCTCTCAAAACCATCCTCAGGCCAGCTGCAGTGGTGCACGCCCGTGATCCCAGTGACTCCGAAGGCTGAGGCAGGAGGATTACAAGTTGGAGGCCAGCCTCAGCAACTCATTGAGGCCCTAAGGAATATAGCAAGACCCTATAAAAAGTAAAAAGGAGTGGACATGTGGCTCAGTGGTAAAGTCCCTCTGGGTTCAATCCCAGCACCAAACAACAAMTGTCCTCAGCCCTCACAGCTCAGAATGATGTTGGAGGACCGGCTTTGGTTGTGTCCCTGACCCCAAACTTCTTGGCTTTAAAGGATGACAGATGAGAATCCCCAAATCCCTTCCACTGAAGAGGGAAAAGGAGTATTCCCAGCACTCAGAGGGACTGGGAAGAAATCCTTCCTACATTTTAAGTAAAGTACTCACCGTGGATAGGAATTTATATTTTGGAGGTGCTTGATCTATCTACAAAGAAAAATTAGGAATTAATTTATGATAAAATGTTCCTAGAAGTCTTTTTTTAAATATTTATTTTTTAGTTTTCGGCAGACACATCTTTGTTTGTATGTGGTGCTGAGGATCCAACCCTGGCCRCAYGCATGCCAGGCGAGCGCGCTACCGCTTGAGCCACATCCCCAGACCTCCTAGAAGTCTTCATTGTGTTTATTTTTWAAAAATACTGTAATGTTAGACCTTTGTGCAGGAAGTAATTAAGGTACATAATTATTGTAGTTTAAAAGTTGTACATGGTAAGACATTGTTTGTTTTTATGTATGTTTTTACCGAATGATCTATTCCCCACCCCAAGGCAAGCATGAATAAAATCAGGTTGAATGTAGCATGCGCATCGCAGTCTCTTAGGATCTGTCCGTCTATTTTATTTTACTCAGTTCGTCTGTATCTTGGCTGTCCTGTTTGAAGAAAAAAGACAAATAAAACATGGCCAGCAAAAGAAAGAGATGCTTTTCTACATCTAGAGTGAGACCCAGGCAGGAAAGCCCTAAGTGCTTGGTCCAGACAGACGTGGTTCCAGTCCTGCTACTTCAAAGCTTTCCGGTAAAGCACCAGATGGTTCGTATTTCGGGTTTTGTTGAGTCCACCACTGCGTCTCGGAAGCTGACTCCAGAGTGTCCAGACAGCAGGCTGCTGGCTGGAGTCACTGCTCAGCCCTGGTTCACCAGCCCTTGTTCTAGAGGAAATAGAAAAGCCAATCTGTTCTGAGCTTCAGCTTCCACCTCTGTAAATGGGGATGATCTGTCCTGGGGAGCAGTGAGGATTTTTTTGTTTTGTTTTGTTTTTTGGTACCATGGATCAAACCCAGAGGCGATTAACACTGAGCCACAACCCCAGCCTTTTTTATATTTTATTGAGAGAGAGGGTTTCACTAAGTGCTGAAGGCCTCCCTAACTTGCTGAGGCTGGCTTTGAACTTGCAATCCTCCTGCCTCAACCTCCCAAGCCACTGGGATTGCAGGTGTGAGCTACACACCCAGCTAGAAGTGAGGATTTTATGTGATTAAGGCATATAAAGTGCTAGAACTACTTCATGGTGTACCAAAGGGCCCAATTAATGATTCTGATTATTAGCCTTAACCAGTTGTTAACAAGCAGAAAGTACTTTGCAAACCCTAATTCACTTACACCTGGTAACATCCTGTAAGTATCATCAGCCCCCAGATTACAGATGAGGCAACGGAGACCAGAGAGGTCAAGTAATTAGCTCAAGTTGGTCTGGCTCCAGAGCCCATGCTCTCAACTATCCACTCTGTGTCTTTTTTTTTTTTTTTTTTTGTATGGGGGATTAAGCCCAAGGGCACTTAACCACTGAGCAAAATCCCCATCCACCCACCCCACCCCCTGTTTTTAATGTATTTTATTTTTAGATAGGGTCTTTTTTTTTTTTTAGAATTTTAATTTTTTTTTTTTTTTTTTTTTTTTTTTTTTT